AGGGTCAGATGAGTTCCTCCCAGCTAATGGAAGCATAACAGCGCACCGTGCACACGCTGTACAAGTTAAGTGTGACGGCACACAGGCCAATGCATCGATGCTTCAGCTTGAAGGTCAAGTTGCTGGTAAAGGCTTCTTCTACTGTAAACGCTTTGATACACATGAATTATTCATTCTGCTACTTGTCTGCGTGCACGTCTGCACGGTGACGGTCACCTCCCTCCTCTCACCCTCATTCGTCCGTGACGGAGGAAGAAAACCGCTGATGCGCGGGTTACGCATGACGGGCTAATCCATACTCCCAGCATGCATTCTGACCTGAGGAGGAGGGGTGTGTCCGTGTGTGTGTTTGTATGGGAGGGAACAAGGCACGGTCCATGTGATGCATAGGACCAAGGCCGAAAAAAGATCTGGATTGATGCTTTTCTCTTGTAGTAGATCCGTTTTTTTTTACTCCTTACTTCTATTTAGTGAATCAAGACCCAAATATGTGGTCAAAAGTGATCTCTGGGATAGAAAATCAAGCTTTACTCGTCTGATGTTGCACCACATGTGTACTAGGTGGAAATATCAACACTAGCACCAATGCCTAGTCGCCATGTAACGCCTGGCAGGGTCAGATTATTCATGCAGTGATGCAACAGCTTTTGACTCAGAGCCACAACTGAAACAAATCACCGGGGCACTTCATGCGCCCCGCAACGACGACATATAAAATGACCCTAAATTGACTGAATTATTAAAAACACACACCCAAGAGACGCAAAACACAAGAGGATAGATTGAAGCCAGTTATGAGCTTTTGTCGGGGCTTAAACCCACAGACGGCCCAGTGAGGCGGCGTCTAGACTGAACGCTTATCGAATGAATTATCCCTCTAGGTTTCATCTGAAGGAATAGAGAATAATCTTATTAGACACCATAAAAACTATTCCTGTGTGTGTGTGTGTGCGCTCCTGTTTGTGAGCACGGGTGCGATTTAGGGAAGACATATTAACATCCCTGGGAAGTAGAAATGAGATCCGTCGCATTAAGAATAATCAGAGCTGCTCTTCTCTCTCCGCTTTGATGTATTTCTCGTCTTGAGATCATCTGTATCCTTCAGGTCCCCTCCCCCCTCTGTAATAATGCTAGATTTTCTGTCCCCCCCCCCCCTCGTGTTAGTATGGCCAAGCAGCAATAATGGATCCTTTCAGGAGGCTCATCGCTATTACTGTTAACACAGATCCCTCTCCTCCCTCTGCTCACTCAGAACAGATGAATGACTTCTTCTTCTTCTTCACTGTCCCTCTTTCTCTGACTGAGTAAGCTCATTCATGGCTCTTTCCCAGCCTCAGTAACACACACCAGAACATGAGCGGCGCATTGTGTATACGTTAGTATATTAAAGCTCTACTCTTTAGCGAGGAGCTGCTGCGCTGGAGCAACAGGAGGGTCGCTGACTTGCTCGAGAAGCACAACAGGGACATGTTTTAGGAAACAGTGTTGTATTCATTCGCTCTCTCTAAGGACGAAGCGGTGTCTCCCTCATGACTTGTAGGAATAGTACTAGGAATGAGATAGAGGTAGATAGTATGAAGAAAGATATAAAAGTCAAAGTTTGTCAAAGTTTTTTCTTTTTCTTACACTTTTATCTTAATATTCTCTTCACTTGGCAACTCTCCTTTTCCCCCCGAAAAAGATAAAAAAGGCACAATACAGCCTCATCTTCCCACTCTGTTATCTGTGAGGACGTAGCACAGCGGCGCTTTGAGCTAACGGCTAACACCAGCATGCTAACTTACTCAAAGTGACATAAAAATGTAGATATTGAGCAAATATCATGTTTACCAGGGTCACCGTCTTAGTTTAATAGTCGCTGATAAACACTAAACTCAAAGTACAGCTGAGGCTGATGGGAATCACGTTGGGTTTGCAGGTTTTTGATCATAAAAGTTGAAATTCAGAACTGAGGATGAATCTGTATGGAAAGTAATAATATCTTTTAGTTTGTGTATCGTGGCAATCCAATACAATCGCTGATGAGACTTTTCACAATGTCAACCCGCTGGTGTCACTAGAGGAAAAGAAATCCGGGGATCACTGAAGACATTTAGATTCATCCTCTGGACAACAGGAATGAAATCCAGCTTATAATCGGTCTGAATGACATTTCCATCCCCAGAGCAGTGCCGCTAGCGTGGCTAAAAAGCTTTAATTAATCCATTCCATATTCCAGAGTATCGCACACAGCTTCACTGAGACGGTTCGGAGTTAAGGGCCTTGCCCGAAAAAAGGAAGGAGTGAGAGTGAGTGAGAACAATTTTCCAAGTCAGCCTTTTTGGATCAAACCTTACCGTTTCAGATCTGTAGACTTGATGAGAGTCAAGAACCTCTTAATCTCATATAAACTGTCTCGTGGAGCCTCCTCCTCCTAACTTTCTCTCCCTTTAGTTCCTTCCATTTCTCCACTGCTTAGAGGTCAATAAACTTACTGCTTAGCTTTCACAGGAAAAGTCAGAGGGTCAAGGGGAGATGTAATATCTCCCTGCACCTCATTGTCCCGTGTGGTCAGAGTGTTTTCTGAGACACACAGCGTTCAGTAACACACAGTCTGACAGGCGGAGGGGTGGTTGGTGTGCGTGCTTTCCTCTGCTGTCCTAGTTCCTGGCACAGGCTCAGTTCAGACAGATGGTCAGGAGGGCTTTATGGAAACGTATTCCCCCCCCTCCGAGTCCAACACACACACACACACAGAACCATAATAATGCCGGCAGAGTGCTACAGGAGTTGACACTGTAGCTTTAGCATCTGCCTATAATAAAACATTATTCCTTCGTATTAGCGAGGGCCGCGTTACACCACTTAAATCTGAGTCGTACAGAGAATCTCTTAAACAATCATCCATCAAAGCTCCACATAATCAACTTCACACTGTCAGAGAGCAGCCCCCAAAGAGCAGCGAGAGACGGCTAACTGAAGGGGTTTTATCATGTAATGTTAGTAAACTCGATGCTCTTACGTGTTGATTATTCAGGATGTTTAACACTTCCAAGGAGCTCTGAATCTTCCCCACATAATTCAAAATCTCAGCTCCCCGATGGGATTAGTGAACAGCGGTTGGCAGACAGTCTCCTGGTGATGCAATCCCCCCCCCGCATCTAGCTATGAGGGTGGGCAGCACTCGGGGTTCTCCTGTTGACGCGGCAGCCTACATGAACAGTTGTTTGATTCAGCAACAGAAGCCTCCAGGCGTGAGCTTAACGCGGACCTGCAGGGGCATCAGATCCCTCCGAACACACGGGACTCCAGCAGAGGCATCGTGTCGACGTCACCGCCCCTGTGAGGGTGTGTGTGTGTTCTTCACGTCGTGGGTGTGTACGAGTGGGAGATTCAGCAGAGATAGAGGAGAGAGGAGGCAAGGAAAGAGAGAGGAAGGAGGACAGGGAGAGAGATTTAGGATTGAGAGCTCATGGACAGACAGGTTTGTGTTTTTACTGTTCGCAGGTCAGTCGCTGCCAGTCAGGGAGATTTATCTGTAACAAACAGATGGCATTTTAGTACAAAACCATGTAACCACTGCCAACACATGCCATAAATACTGCTGACATTGATGGAGAGGCGGTTTGAGCATGGTTACATAATTAAAAAAAACAGTTGAGAGGGTCATTTTCCTTGAAAGATTACGATCGGTACAGGAAATGAAGGAAGCGCATGCACCTAAGCATTATGTTCCTTTTATAAACTGCCTGATTAAGATTCAAAGAACAGGTTTCAGAAGAAACATGCGGGTCAGGTTTTTGACACCCGGTGAACGAGTGATTCTTCCAGCACAACGGACTGTGAATTAAAGAATTCAAATGTGTTTGACAAAAGGAATACACGCGCTTTAAGTAAATAAGAGAAATCTAGACTTACACACCGTAACTGCTGAAAACGCCACTCAAAAGCAAAAATAATTCACAAGCATAATCACTGTGTCATGAAGAGCTTAGAACCTGCAGCACAACTATAGATCGATACTAAAAACGGGCTGATATTGGAGCTCTTAGCGGTACTCTGATGGAGGAGCATTGTCTGCTGACATTTTTATCTGCATTGGTCTAACCTTTGTCTGTGTGTGTGTGTGTGTGTGTGACCAGTGTCTGATACATCAACTCTGGGACACAACAAGTCCCTACGAGCTGCTGTATAAATGACAAAAGTTATTTTTCTAATCCAACAACACCTCTGCTCCACTACTCCATGAGCCCTAAGTGACGCTCTGTCGTGTCTTAATCAGCAGCGAGTGTCTGATGCCATTAAGCACCAGTCAGACACTGGTCTATGTCCTCCTCATTCATCTACTCCCTGCATCTCTTCTTCTACTCTCTCCCCTCTCGCCGTTATGACACGATGCAACATGCTGCTAATGGAAACACAAGACGTTCATTTTGAGTTTCTGGTCATTCAGCCACTGTTGTCGTTTCATCCATCATGATGCATATTTTGTTGAATAACCCGAGTGTGACCCCGTTATGTAAGAGCATGAATTTCTCTCCAGCAAGTAACAAATGTTTCACTATAGATAATCAGTGTAACCTTTAACACCTCTACATATAGTTCATTCATCTCAACAAGACTGAACCAGTGTAGTGCTGAAACTACTCAACAAACTTTACCTTCAGAAGTTAAAGGAATAGTCTGACATTTTGGGAAATATGCCGATTCACTTTCTGGCCTTTTACTTTATGGTAGAAATGTAACTACCGCCAACAGCAGGTCCGGTTAGCTTAGCATAAAGCCTGGGGGAATCCATCTAAAAGCACCTCTAATGCTACGTTCACACCACGAGCAACAGATTGCTTCACTGCGTCATTGGAAAGCTGAAAAAGTTGATTGCCCGATTGTGTTGCCATAGGGCAGATTCAGGCTATGTTTCCAGTCTTTGTGCTAAGCTAAGCTTCATATTTGCACTATGCCTTTAAGTGATGTAAACTAACCCTAATTTAATCAAAGGTATTGTGTCTTGTTTCTGCCAGGCTCCTGTTTCTGGGTGGCGGTGTTGGACGGACGCGTGGTGGGGATCGTGGCGGCTCAGGGCCACGAGGACGACAACACGGTGGAGCTGCAGCGCATGTCGGTGGACTCTCGATACCGCGGCAAGGGCATCGCGAAGGCACTGGGCCGGCGCGTTCTGGAGTTCGCCGTGCGCAACAACTACGCCGCCGTGGTCCTCGGCACGACGGCCGTCAAGTTGGCCGCCCACAAGCTGTACGAGTCGCTGGGCTTCCGCCTAACGGGCCAGAGCGAGGACTACAGGCTCCCCGGGATGAGCCGCTCGCCGCTGGAGAGGCTCTTCTTCCAGATCCGCTACAGCCGCTACCGCCTGCAGCTCCGTGAGGAGTGAGAGTTTACAGGGAGAGGGAGAGAGAGATGGAGAGAGATGGAGAAAGAGAGGGACAGAGAGAGAGAGAGAGAGAGAACGACCCTCCTTCACCCGAGCGCCCCGACTGCATCCTCTCCTCTGACGGCTTTTATTTATTTCATGTCATTAGAGATACCTTTGAGTACTACTTAACACTTCTACTACTTCATCTTTAAAGTCACTAACGTTTTCATCACTACTAGGCTTTTGTTGCTGTTGTTTTTGTATTATACTTTCACATTTTAAATAAGAGTTTGTTTCTTTCCCTCTATTTTATTAAGCTATTTTTTTGTACCTCTACCCCTCCCTTTTAATTATGGGAGGAAAAACAAGTCTTTCACAGAAGACATCTGACTGGCACCCCAACTGGGGACCCTCCCTGCCCCTTTTCGGTTTAAAGATCATGTGACTGATCAATACTCCCCTTCATTACTACTCCACAATGCCCTCTTTACCCCTCCCCCATTACCTCCAGCACTCCCTTCCCTCCCCACATTCAACATCCCCAGCAGCAGACGTGCGTGGCGCTGCGGAGTGCACTGAGACATTTGCATTCTGTGCCATTGGGAGGACGGGACGGAGCGATGGATGGGGTTGGGAGGGGCAATTACGGCTTCCTGGAGAGCAAAACACACAAAAAGAAAAAGTGGTGGTGGGGTGGTAAGCTTGTGGTACACACTTTCTTTTACAAAAGCTCTTCAATGTGACATTTTGTGTGTGCATTTGTGGACAGAGCGTGGTCACGCACACACAAACCGAGTCATTCGGCTTTTAGCCCGTCTCTCAAAGACGCCATATTGAAGCACAGAGTGTGTTACTGACCCCCGTAGTGAGAGAGGAGGAGGACAGGATGGCCACAGGAATACGCGCTGTGTATTCCTGGTACCTAGACGGACACGGATCAGCGCAGTGCATCTTCCTCACATCCCCTCCTCTTCACTCTCTCCTCACCGGTGATTCGATTGGATCTCTCCTTCCTTTCTATTGTTTCTTTTCTTTTTTTTAATCACTGCTTTTCTCACTGGAGCTGTGGAGAGGGTCTCTGATTGGTTGAGGTTGACAGGAGGGTGGAGCTTTCTCGCTGACAGATCCCATGATACAATACAGCTGCATGTCCGAGCTTGTGCGTGTGTGTGTGATTGTTGAGAGTATGTGATGTGTGTGATGAGGCCATGGTCAGACATTACAGACCATATGCCTCAACCGTGTGTGATGAATTATATTTTGCGTGGACAGACACGCACCGTTTCTTGCTATGAGTCAAGTATTATCTAAGTAACTTTCTATGTGTACTTATAAATTGTTTACGGATTGAAGAAATATACAGTCTAACATTTTGAGTTTAGTAGTTGACTGGTAATTAGTAATTTTACACATGTTACCACATTGTAATATGCAAATTCTACTGTCAAAACGACAACAATTACAAAATAGCTGCAGACTACACTCCACGTACGTAATCCAGGTTATTTGGGGAACAACTTGGGTAAAACATGACTACTAGCAATACTTGCAGACCTGCAGAACATAACTGAGCACAAACAGCAAATAATAACCAATATATTGGCATTAGTATTCCCCCCCTTCCCCATGTATTTATATTGTGTATACAGCCGAAAACTCCTGTAGCAAACCCACACTCCATCTCTCTCCATCTCCATCCTGTGACCGTACAACCAGCAGTAGATTCAGCCATCCACCACTCTGAGCCTAAGTTATGTCATCGTACCATTTGTAAAAAGTAAATTATAAAGCGAAATATAACAAAAAAAATCACATAAGATTAAAAAAAACAAAGAAAAAAATTTAATACAAAGTGTAATCGTCATGAAGTTAGCAATGACCCTCCTTGTCTTGCCACCCTCCCCCCCCACAAACTCTCCCGACTTCCCCATTCATGAATCTGTCTGCAACCCTGGGCTCGACCCCACAGCTTCCATCTGAACCCTCCACTGACCTTTCCCCTTTCCCCCAGCCCGCCCCCCCCCCCCCCCCCCCCAATCTCTGCATGCGCCACAGAGCCTTGCTGCACTGCTTTTATTATTCCATTTGAAGCTTGTTGGACCAGCCCTGGAACTCCGCCCCCTCCCTTACTCTGATGTCATCTAGGCAGTGTGACTGCTCCGCGAGAGGGGCCGGGTGCCAGGGTGATGCATGGTTGAGTTAGTATGGATGCAGAAGACGCAGAAAGTGAGAGAGAAAGTGAGTGTGTGTGTGCAGATACACTCACCAACTGCAGCACTGTCTGGATGACATCACGCCTGCCAGCCAACCAACTGTAGAATGCAAAAAGCAATGCAAGTGTGGCATGCCTCTGTATCCGGTGTGTGTACGGTGCCTGCCCTGGAAAAATGTAGGAAAAAAACAACTAATTTATATATATGTATATATATATACAATATATATATATATAAAGAAAATAAGCTTCTTTTTAAATTAACATGTAAAATAAATGTGTTTCTTTGTTTGGAAAAAAACTAAAATTGTATCATTTGCATGAAATGTGTCTTTGAATGCAAAAAAAAAAAACGTTTAGGGAAGAAACTACTAGCACATGGCATACAGTGGAACCACAGACTTTGTTTTGTTTTAAATGATCTTAATTCTCTAAGGAGTGAAATCCACAAGCCAGTGCTCATGAATCCCGTTCTAAGAGCCTTGCGAAATTTGAGAGCGGCTGTTGATATTCAGATTTAAGAAAAAGTTAGTTTCCTTCCTTGATCTCAGTGGGAGTGAGTGTGAGCATCAGACGGCTTCTGTTAAGACTTTGCAGGACTAAGATCATCGACGGGCATTAGAGGAATGATGAAAGAGATAAACACGTATTCCCATGCCGTACATAGTGCAAACATCTTTCATCCACCATGGCCAAGTTTATCTTATGCAGATGAAGCCAACACAGGTGGCAAGATAGTGTGATGCAAGACACAAATGCACTGAAAGCATCGAACAGTACTTGTTTGATGAGGTGTTTTCTTGTGGGGGATGCCTCACACCACTTTGATGCATCTTGCTTTGAACATTGGTTGTAGCTAGAGAGTGAAAAGAGGATAAGACGGCGTTTTGTGACAGCTCTGGAGCAACTGCTGGCCCTCATACAGTACTTACAAACCTCCTAGTAAAAAATGAGGTAACAGGATACAACAGGCAGCCAAAATAAACATGAATACTACAGATTTATTTTCTAATAGCACAGTTGTGAAATGTAGGCGTCAGTGGAGCCGAGGCCGTAGAAACACCACAGCAGGGACACATCTGGAGCGTCATATTAACTTATCGCTTCCAGTGTGTTCAGGTCCCTCCCCCCTTCTTTAGAAGACGCGGGCGTGGTCTGAGGGTTGAGAGTGAGCGGTGCGATTCGCCGAGGTGGTTTGTAAAATAAAAGCGTGCTCTGGATTTTGTGGGAGAATGTGAAGTCTGTCGATTCTGAGCCATTTCTGCCAATCTCAAATTATTATCCACACCGATACACATTCTGAACAAAGGTAACATCCTTTAAACGCCTTCGCTAAGGCCTTATGCACTGAAATCAAACGCTGGAGTTCAAATATGTTGTGGACTGCATTGAGGTAGTTAAGGGGTGATTCTGAATTGTAACGCTGAAGTGCACTGACTATAATGCATTTATTTTAGTCCGAGCAACATCTGTCTTCTACTTCATGTGAATGCTAACGCCCTGTGAAGTCTCACCTCCCATTTAAAACTGGTAACACATAGTTAATGTTGGAATGTAGTAATTAAAAACTGTATGCAACTTCTACCAGAGTGTACATTTAGTTACAAACCATTCCTCTGCTGATGTACAATCCAAAAACAACCTCACACTTTTTTTTTTTTGTTATTTGGTTTTCTGTGATTTGTTTGGGTGCGAGTGTCCCATTTGGTTGAGGTTTGAGAAGGTATGCTGCACTTAATGGCCTCTCCTGCTGTTATTTAGAGCGCTTTAGAACCCAAAAATGACCATCGGACGCTCAGTCACTGAGGCACAAGCTCCAGCAGTGTTTAAAAATCCTAACCAAACGGTTCAAAATACCAGTATTCGTCACGATCAATATATTTCATTCAGTTCCTCGACTGGTGAAGGAGCATAGAATTCAAAACTGCACAAATGTACAGATCCTGTGGGTGTGTTGCTCTGATGTGTGTCCATGCTCGACAGCCTTGGGGGGGGGAGACACTCACGGGCATGAATGTAAACTGCCAACATTTAAGGTCTTAGAAAGATTTCGCTGGTTGCTTTTTTTGTTTGTTTTACTTTACGACAGAGAGGAACAGGAGGAACAGCAGCTATTGGTTCTTCTCATTTCGTGACTACACCACTTCATTAGACGTTAGACATTCTGTGTGATTGTAAATAGCCTTGTCTTTTTCTTTACGTATTATTGACGGCAACGTGTCATCCGTGCTGGTTTGAACCAATCCTGGTGGAGTTCATTTCTTTGTCTCAGAAGATGGCTGTCGCCCGGAATGTTCCACCTAACGAGGAGGGCGAGGGGTGAGGGAGGAATGGGGGGAGGGGTGGGGGGGGGAGGTCTGCAGCAACAGCGCTCCACAGCATGGACTCCCTTCTCTCTCTCTCTACCTCCGGTGAGGACTTTGCTCCGCTGTGGCAAACAGAAGGACTCACTCTGGACTGAGGCCACAGGTGCCAAGAACACATAAGCACTTGTAGCACAACTGTGTCTTGTTTTGCTATTACAGTACAGATAGTTTTGATTTTTTACATTTCCTATGAAGAATATGGATGAAGTTTCTCTTTCTCCTGTGTTGTCGACTGTATGTATCGCCAGCATATATACAGGACACGATACTGTAATTCCTACTACGACCCGTGGCTCATTTTTGAGGTGGAAATTTGCCAAAGGTGATGGTTATTGCTGCATTTTTATTCCTCATGTGGCTATATTATGTTAAACACAGCCCTGTACTTACTTGGTTTTATTTGGAGAAAAAAAAAATCCTGCCCACGTGCCATCTAATCAAGCAATAAATACAAAAAAAAAAAAAAAAAATTACACACCATCAACAATGATTTTATCAAAAACATGAAATGCTGCATTGACGTTTTCTCCCTTATACTGCACCAGTTAGTGGCAGTGACCACTCATCACATGGAAGCCTGAAGAATGGTGATTGATTGTAAAATGTTTCTGTTTTTTGTATTTTTCTTTACAAAGAGGTGTCAAAGACGTGTTTTTTTTTTTTAACTCAAAGTACACAGGTGTACCTCTGCATATTTGTACAGATGTCAATAAGGAAAATGGGGGGAAATGACAAG